ATGATGTTTTTTACAGAAACTGTATAAAAATTTTCCTTTAAACTTGCAGAAGTTATAAAAGTTTCAACTCAGTGTTTTATTTTAGTTTATTGAAGACATTTATTTTATTTTTTGTCATGGTTCCTTTCTTTGTCTTGTGCTTTATGCGTCACTTTGTCTGTGTGAGGCTGAGAGAACTCAGCTTTGACAGGAACTTATGTAAATGTATGTAATTACATTCATAAGGAGGAAACTCATGCCACACGCCTGGCTTCTGTTTATGTAAATGAATGCTGGAGTTAGAGCCTAAAAGTGCAGATGAGATTAGGATTATTTTTTTAAATAAATATTATTTATATATTTAATTGCCTGCATTAGTGAAAACTTTACTCCTAATTGCAAACAATCCTTATTTATCTCAATATAATTGCTTTTTTTGCTATTTTAATTTACTGTACATACAGAAAATGACCCTAACTTGACTTACAGAAATACATTTCTGTAAGATGTGAATGTCAATTTTGTACTGACTGAAAATTACTTATTTTACAGTAATTTCACAGCAGTTATTTTCTTGCAGTTTTGTCAATGAACTAAAAATAGGGGAGCATATGGGAGAGGGGATGATTGATGCAGTGGCATCCCATGAAAGCTTTCATTGGGGAGGGGGATTAGGTGGTAACTGGGAGAGTTTATGGATGTGCATTACATTGCTGCTTCGTTCATTTTCATAAAAACAATAATAATTGCCTTTGAATTCAACACATTTACCTCTAATTGAGAAACACAAACATTTTAGAAAAAAAAACTAATTTACACAGCTATTTGAATTATCCATCCATCCATCCATCCATTGTCTGAATCCGCTTTGTCCATGTAGGGTCACGGAGGGGGGGGGGGGGGGGGGGGGGGGGGGGGTGACTATCCGCTATCTTTAGCGGTCAATGGGCAATCAGGTGGGGTACACCCCGGACAGAGAGCCAGTCCATCGCAGGCTATTTGAATTACTTCAACTTTTATTTTTTATTTAGAATTGAATGCATGTGTTTGATTTCAAACAAAAAACTATGAAGATTAATACTTCATTTTGATAATGATGAGCAGCAACGACCTACAGTTTTTACTTTTAAACTTATGTCAAATTCATGTACTCATTAATTATACTTTTTACATGTTTTTACGTTTATGTTAAAAAGGATGAATTTATGGTTTGCGTGAACATGAATAAGATTAATTTAAATAAGGGTTTCTTCCTGGGGGGGGGGGGGGGGGGGGGCATGCATTTTTTAGGGGGGGGGGCACTGACCCCCGGTAAACCTTCGGGGGCTCCACTGGTTGGATGAGATACGTAGTCTGGAAAATTTAAGAATACAAACAAATGCAGCTGAGAAAACTAAATCCTATTCAGATTTAGGGGACTTTACTACCATCCTGCTGCATGTTTGGAAGGATAAATAATATAATCACAAGAACATGAAACAAAGGTATTCTGGCAGGCAGGTGCGGGGGGGGGGGGGGGGGATTGAGACCCTGCCCATTTTGCCCCATGTGCCGAAAGTGCCCTTTTTGAGGTTTAATGATTTTTTTATATTTATCTATTTATTTATTAACAAAAATTTTTGTTTTAAAGAATTTTCTGTTTGTGCCCCCTCAACAATAACAAAACTAATAATTAATAAAATTTCTAAAGCTATATAGCTGGCGTGAGTCACGTGACCATACCGTCTCTTCCTCACGCCAGAGCGCACAGCCGGTTACAACAAGCTGCCAGCACCCACGTTTTCTTCATGGCCGAGCGAGCGGTGCAGAGCTTTTAGGACATACATATTGATTGGGAGAAACGGACTAACACCGTTTAAGTAGGATGCACACTACTATACACAGTTATTAGATTATTTTGTACATTATTAAGTTGATTTGTGGCACTAGGTGTGTGTGATATATTACTAGCTGGGTGTGTGTCCGTGGCTGGGTACCGATTCTGAACCTCAGTAGCTTTAGGATTAACCAGAAACATTCTGTACATAAGTACTTGTACGAAAATATTTTTTTCAATCTTAAATATTGGGAATTTGCCAATAAAATGTCATTGTTGTTAACTAGGTACCGCAAAGTTGCATTCCTATCGCTGCTGCGTGTCACATGACAGCCCTGCTTCTTGTTTACAAAATCACTTCCTGGTTCACAGACTGAAAAAACTTGAACAAATTTAAAATTTAACTACCTTTTGTGAAAGGAAATAAGAAAAATACTAAAGGTAACATCCGTCACAAGTTTTGTGTTACAAAATATTCAGTCCTTGTCTGTAAATTCTGTTTCAGCATTTTAGGGAACATAGTTTTGTTTTCGATTTTAAGGTTTCTCAGCCCTTCTGGTGGGTTTTATAGTTCACTAATACTATGCATATTCTCAAAATGTTGGAGTTTATATTTGCTCTCTTTTTGAATGCATTGTATTAAAAAACATTATGTTTTAAATATGTACATTTAAAAAAAACTACTGTTTTCACAGCAAAATTATTTTATCTGTACAGTTCTCTGTTTTGCACAAAGTAGATAGTAAAACTGAATGAAAGCATAAACATATTGTTTTATTCTTTATTTTTATTACAATTACTAAAGCACAATGATTAAAGTAGTATGGAAATTTTCTGGATCAGCATCATGAAGCAAATTTATGGCCAAATTATATACAGTTAGTTTTCTGGAAAAGGAATGAAATGTCCCAGTATGTGTATGCATGAGTTTTATATGCATGAAAACATATTTGTAAATTAATTATGATATATCATTGTACAGACATGCCTCGTAAGGAGAGGAGGCGGAAGCAGCGACAGAAAGAGCTATGTGAGGCAGCTAAAGGCAGTGGGTCCTAGCCTAGTGAACTAGACCAAAATCTTGCTTTGCAAAGATAAATAATACATTTATTTAGTCTGGCTTGCCAGGCTAAGTGGGTCCCTCACCAGCTGGATAAAAAGAGTACAGGTAAGCTGCATCACAGCAACAAGTGTAGAAACAATAATCCACACAACTGCAATGTTTTGATGCCAGAAATTGTTTTTTGTTAGCCTCTTGATCATGGATTAGATGCAAGACCTGTTAAATGTGAATAACTACATAATTCATTCATACAATAGCTAATTTTGCCTTGTTCTCAGATGGACAGCAAGTGGAGAGTGATAGATCACATGAGGAGATTGAAGACACACACACACACACACACACACACACACACACACACACACACACACACACACACACAACTCTTTCTGTTTATATTTCTGTCACATTCTTATCTCTGACATCAACTCCTCTATTATCCACTAATGTTTAGATTTCCATTTATTCACCACAGGTGTTGTCTCAGATATTTCTGTCTTACAGTTCTAAGAGTTTTCACCAATTTTTGCCATTTTTTTATTATCTTACATTAATTTTGTAATTGACTAACATTTCTCCTCTGATCGTTTTACTACCTACAGTCTGAGATCAACACAGCCTTGCCCTCCAGCATCATCAGCAGCAGCAAGAGGAGCAGGTTGTCCAGTAATCGGAAGGTTGCAAGTTTGATCCTGACTTTAATCAGAGATTGATGCTGTTGTGTCCTTGGGCAAGACACTTGACCTGCGTTGCCTGCTGGTGGTGGTCGGAGGGACTGGTGGCGCCTGTGCTCAGCAGCTTCACCTCTGTCAGTGCACTCCAGAGCAGCTGTGGCTACACCATAGCTCATCACCATCGGTGTGTTAATGTGTGTGTGTGAATGACTGATTGTGTTGTAATGTGCCTTGGGGGGGTTGTAGAACCCTAAGAAGGCATAATACAAATACAGACCATTTACCAAAACAAGCTACTTTTGCTTTACATTGTCCTTATGTGGTAAGGGTGTACATAATGATTTGCTTCAATTTTGAATTTCTAATAAATATGATTTGTTATTCAGCCGGGTGTACTGTGTCATGGTGTTTGAAAATATTATTCTGTGTGCCCCTTTTTAAATTTGAGCACCCGCCCCTTCAAAGGTCTCTGCACATAGCCCTGTATTCTGGTGAACATTCAGATAATTTACAGTAAAATAAATAAACAATCCCGGTAAAAGAGGTTAAAACTCCCTTCAGGTTTTGTGTTTCTGACCCTTCGGAATTGTCTAACAAATAACAAATTCCACCGGCAGAAATCCAACAGTGACAAGGGTGGAATTCAGCCTCCCCCAACACCAACAAGTGGTGCGGTGCCCCTCTTCACACTTGTGTCCTCTTTCGCACACACGCGCGCGCGCACACACACTAACGTGCTGCATTGTAAGGACATTATAATGTGAATGAGGGGCGCAGCAGCTCTGCTGAGGGTTGCGTGAGTAATAAGAGTGTGTCAGAGCCATGGACGTAATTTTCACTTTAGAAGTGGGGGGGGGGGGACACGGGGGGGGGGGGGGGGGGTATCTTTACAGTATGTTCTAAAGGGAAACAGGCTTCAACAAAAACTGTTGTTTTCCGCTTGGTCCTAGAGCTCAACCAGTGTCCATTTAATATAGCGTAATGTTGTTTTTAGATGGTAAAAAGTGTGCAGGGGTCAAAACTTGACTTTGGAAAAAGTGGGGGGACATGTCCCCCCTGTCCCCCCCAAAAAATTACGTCCATGGTCAGAGCAACTGGGTTATAAATGAACTGGCAGAGAGTGAAAAGGGAACACCTAATCAAGTTTAAACACTATGAATGACACGCTGCTCAGGTGAAGGGAACGATTGATAAAACAATATGACTAAGATTTATAAGTGACGTTATAATGTCCTTACACAGTAATACGTTTTGTTCCTCTTTATTTGTGTTATTTTATTTGCTGATTTATTCATGAATGTTAAAGTGATCCAAACATCAACCCGGTGCTACATCCCATCATCTAACGGACCGTGGTCTTTTACCCACACCGCGATAGCTGATGCCTGCGAAAAAAGGCTGTTTGTGTCAATCACCCCCCGCCCCTTCTTTCGTTTCCACCTCCCCCTCTTGTCTCTCTTCTCCTCCTCCTCCTCCTCTTCCTCTGCTCCCTCCGTCGCCTCCGCGTGTATAGGAGCTCAAACCACCGCGTTTACGCGCGGCCGCGGCCAGTCGTTAGCGGGCAGCCAGCTCCATCCGCGGCCGGAAGGCTGCTGCTTAGACCCGAACCCGCCGACATCCACAAACAAGTGGCAGGAGAAGGGGATAGCTGGAGGAGAGAGAGACTCGGAGAAAGGAGAGACCAAAGAGGAGGAGAAAGGATAATTCGAGTGGTCGCCCCTGGAGCAGCGGAAGGGGGGGAGAGGAGATGGCACAGCGCCTCAGCATCCCAAACACACGGGAGTGGTGCGCCACCGACACCGGAGCTCCGGACTCAGCAGCAGCATCACCGCCTCCCAGCAGCCTCTCAGCCCAGGTTGGAGGTAAGCGGACGAGTCGGTGCGACTTCCGAACGTGAACTTCAGCGGCGGAGTGGGACGGAAACTCAAGAATGAGCAGCTCACAGTTCACTTCCTCAGGGTGCATGGCTTTTATTATTGAAAATAACAATTATATATTTAATTTATGTAAACTACGGGTCCGAAACAGGTCCGGAGTAAAGGCTTGACTTGACTTACAGCGATAACAAAGAGGTTTTCTTTACCCACATTAAATCACGTTTGTCTTTTTAAGGATAAAAAAGTCATATCCTACTATTAAGCTTTAAACGTTGCCATCGTTTGGTTTATAACACTCACAAGTTGTTAATTTGAGGCAAAAAGTTCCAGAATAACTGAGTGATAAACTATTTACAGCGTCCTCTTGTGGCCACCGACGTTACAGCACCAACAGGTTGGATCAGCTTCACAAACTCGGCAGTTTAAAACTCCACTAATCCAATGAACTACATCATTAACCCACATCTTTAAATGTGAGAAAGTGTTTTAATCTTATTTTTGAATATTCATGAGTTCATTTTTTTAAACAATCCTAATCCGTCCATCTATTATCTGTACAGCTTATTCCTCAGCAGGGTCGGGGGTAACTGTGCAAGTCAAGACAAAAATCTGTTTATATTTTCTGGTCTCATATTTAAGGATTATGACTGAAATACCTCCTCTCTGACCTTCTCTTGTGGGATGGAAAATCTAAGGGAAGGGTATTGATATTCAAACTGATAGAAGTACAGAGGAGAGAAGCAGAGAGCTGGGAGGAGGGGGGATGAGAGAAAAGCGAGAGAAAGATGCTGTGGGATCTTTTCTTCACTCTGGCTCCGGGCACATACATTAAGATGCTAATCCTGGTCCTTTTTTTGGTTCTGTTTCTATAATTCATAGCGTTTTGTTCCTCTCTCGTCCTTTTCTCTGTCTCTTATTCTTGCACTTCATTTCCTTTTTACTGTCTGCGGCTCCCCCCAGATTAGTCCTCTTGGCAAAAGGATTCCAGCTCTAATTTTGTGGTATTTCAGATGATTAGGTTCAGAAATAGGACAGAGGTGCTCAGAGTTTGGCACAATTAGAGGAATTCTCAGCGGAGCTTTATGGGACTGATTAGTTTAGCTCCCCTCCACCTCCCCACACCGCCACATTAACACACAACCAGCTGTTGTTTATTTGGGAGGATTGACTTTTGTGTCTCATTTTAACAGGGATGTCATTTTGCCTGTGCACACACATTTTGTGTGTGTGTGTGTGTGTGTGTGTGTGTGTGTGTGTGTGTGTGTGTGTGTGTGTGTGTGTGTGTGTGTGTGTGTGTGTGTGTGTGTGTGTCAGAGAGCAGCTAAGCCCAAAGGATGCGAGTTGTTTTCAATCAGCTCTGTAGTTACCAGCTGTGCCCTCACATTCTCTAGGGTGGCACAACTTAGGTGCACACACTCCATCAGCAAACACACACAGAACTAATGCTGTTCAACCTTGCACAACAGATTCACCACTCTTCTTTTCCTCTTGTCCCTTTTCTTTGCAGATATTAATCACCGGTTGCTCCGTCTTTACTCGTGAGGACGTGAGCTAAAGCACCTCTACCGTGTTTCTCCAACCAAGACCCATCTTCCCTGACATCCTGCTAAGTTCCCCTATTCACCTGCCATGGTGACATGACGTACCCCTAAGCGGCTTTGCTCCTGTCTCGTAGACAATCTCCAGAGTTATTTTTTATCCACCAATCACTTGCACGCCCTCTCTTGACTCCTCTTGAAAAGAAAGGACGCGATTCCTCTGACGAACCACAGCTCCACGATTCGCAATGACAGTAGCTGTGCGATTTCGTCGCCACTTACGTAGACTCCTGCTCTTACTAGCCTCCTGTTGCCTCCTGTCTCTTCTCCTCTCTGCCTACTTTCTGTTCACCAACTCCTCCCCTTCCATGCATCTTGGACAATCTGCCGAGCCCGCCTGCTCCCAGCCGCTCTCCATATCGCCGTACCGTCAGCTCCCGAACCCGTACCCTCCAAACCCCCCCCACACGCATGTTCATACCGACCCTGTCGTGCTGGTGCTGGTGGAGTCCCAGTACTCCCAGCTCGGTCAGGACATTGTGGCTATATTAGAGTCAGCCCATTTCCAATTCCGCATGGAGATTGCCTCAGGAAAGGGCGACCTTCCACCGCTGACAGAAAAAGGCCGAGGGCGATATTCACTCATCATTTATGAGAACCTATTAAAGTATGCACATGCAGATACATGGAACAGACAGCTGTTGCATCAATATTGCACAGAGTACAGAGTCGGCATCATTGGCTTCTACCGCTCAACTGAGAATTCCCCATCAGTCCTCAAACTCCGAGGCCTACCGCTGGTGCTCCGGACCAACCAGGTGCTCTGGGACTGTTGTGTGGTGTCCAGTTCACCGCTCCTTCACTTGACCAAACCTGGCACAGACCGAGGGGCCTTACCTGGGGAGGACTGGACTTCATTCTCCTCCAATCATTCCACATACCAGGCTGTGCTGCACGCACGGGCTAAAGAGGGATCAGGAGCAGGGAGCGGAGATAATGCCGGACCGGGTTTCAGCCTAGGCCTCCAAGCCACGGTGGTACAGGACATGGGGCTTTATGATGGGGTGAGACGAGTCCTCTTTGGCCAGGGACTGGGCTACTGGCTCCACAGACTCATCCTGGTGGATGCTATTTCCTACCTCACGGACAGGAAGCTTACTCTGGGTCTGGACCGGCACATCCTGGTGGATATAGACGATATTTTCGTCGGTAAAGAGGGCACGCGTATGAACACCAAGGATGTGAAGGTAACGGGATAAGTGTGGGATAATGTGCATTAGAGAGAGAGAGAGAGAGAGAGAGAGAGACGGAGGAGGATATAGAGGATGATGTCAGGTCAGTTGCGGTGGATTAGCTAGCTCTCTCGTTCTGGTATCAGCTTCTAAAAAAAGTCATTGTCGGTGGTCCTGTGATGGAGATAAGAACAGGGCTTCTCATTGAAATGTAAGCGACCTCAGCATGGAGTTGTTTCAGGAATGGATTTCAGAAGAAGGCATGAGTGCACTTAGGAGATTGTTAGAGCAGTGTGTGTGTGTGTGTGTGTGTGTGTGTGTGTGTGTGTGTGTGTGTGATGCCTCTTTTTGTCTCCTTCAAGTGCATAAGTGTCGGGGTACAAAAACAGAGTATTTTCAAATGGGGGTTTCGCCAGAAGAGGCCATTTAGGGGAACAAAGATGTGGTGTGAAAGAGAGGAAAGAGGAGGGGTGAGGTAAGGAAAGAGAGGCAGTGAAAAGATGAATGGCTCTTATTCCTCTTTTCCCACGTTCCTCCATTTAGGGGAACTATAGGAGAGTCAGCCATCCCGCCTGCCTCTTAAGGCGACTTTTGTTTCAACGCACGCTGGTACAAGTGAGCACACAGAAACAGGCAGATGTGCTTCCGCGCACGTGTTTACATATAAGAGTACAGACTTTGCACACATGCTAAATACAGATTCCTGTAGCGATGCATTATTTATAAGAAGAAAAACAGGGTTTTGTGTTTGCTGGAGATGGGCTGGAGTGGTGCACCGACTATCTCATTTGGCTAAAGGGTGTACCAAACAGAAAAGTGTGTTTATGCAGGGCCGTCACTCTCCATGTGGTGGCTTCTTGAATCACTTTAGATTAAAATGTCACTTTCACCTGTCCAGTCGAGTGGTGACAGAAAAAAAAAGGGGAGCCACCTGTCCGATGGTGAAAGTCAGCTGGTAGACAAGTGGATGGAGGAGAGCTGAATAATAATAAAAAAAAGCAAAGATGCAGCAGAGGGTGAAGCAGAAAGAATTCAAGCCCTGAATATAAAAAAAAAAGCCATGCCTCCAAAAGAGATAAGAGAGTGCACTCACGCCGTCGCACACATTCGCGTTTGTGTGCACGCTCAAAAAACGAGCGCACAAGCCAGCACTCTCTAGTTGGAGTTTTCATTTGAAGTCTGCCTGACTCTTCAGCTTTGTAGCATCAATATACATGAGGATGAAACAGTGCTATAAGAGAAGGGAAGGGAGATGGGGGAAGAGAGCGTGTGTGTGTGTGTGTGTGTGTGTGTGGTGGTGGGGTGACGGAAAGAAGGTCAGCTGAAAGACCAGGCTGTGCCTTTTCAAACCTACTTCTGAGATAGCTGCTGATAATAAAGAGGAAGACACTTAAAATAAAGAAGTGTAAGAGGCGGCGTGCAGAGCCCGAGGAAGAGCTCGTAGCTAAGTTTGCACTTTCAGGCAAACAAAAGCGCTGAGGGGAAAAGGGGGAGCGGAGAAAGGTAAGCAGGAGAGAGGAAATATTTTTAGCAGCTCTTGCCTTATTGATGTAGAGCCTCAGGTAGAGTTGTCAGATTACAGTAAGATCAAAGCAGATTCCTGGTGCCAATTGTGTAAGCAGAGGGAGAAAAATCCTATACCGGGTGTCATAATTAGGACATCAACGCACCTCGTGTGGTTTTATATATCTGTGTGAAACGCAGTCATGCTTTGGGACGTACATCATGCTGGTTAGGTGTCACATGGATTCATTAAGGGAAGGATTCCCCTTTGATGGTGAAAACTTGACAGGATGAGTCGTTTGTAGACGAGCGTGCAATAATCTGTTCAGCTTTTAATTCACAACTTTCGTTTGAGGGAAGATGTTTATATGCACTGACCAGTTTAGATATTTAGGTGATTATTTTTTCAGATTTCTACGAATATTCCTGCAGACTAGCTGAAAATGAGCATTTACACACTTATTATTTACTTCTTTTTTAATGAGATTTTGTCACCTGATGTAAACTTCAGCTGCATTTTAGGGGATTTCTGTGAACTGTTTCTAACATTTTTTATTTTCTGTTAATCATAATAATAGATTTAAATATATATCACAGTAACCTTTATTAGTGATGATGATATATCCAGTAGGACAGTCATTCCAAGTACAAGAAGTATTTTATAATACACTTTTATTAAAACATTAAACGAGATGCACTTGATTAGCTCCCAAGGAAACTTGCTTGTTTATGATTGATGAGTTTTATTTAAATAAAAATGAAAACAGTTAAAGAAAAACAGTAAGACAAATAAAACATGTGATGTAATTAATAATAGTGTCTATGCATATTTTATCTTCACCTACCCACAAACTCATAATGGACCGATTGTGGGTTAGAGAGCCGATGTCCATCCATCCATCCATCTTCTGGTCAACGGGCAATCAGGCAGGGTACACCCTGGACAGAGAGCCAGTCCATCGCAGGGCAACACAGAGATACGCAGGACAAACAGTCATGCACACACACACACACACACACACACACTCACTCACATCTAAGGGACAATTTAGACAGACCAATTAACCTAACAGTCATGTTTTTGGACGGTGGGAGGAAGCCGGAGTACCCGGAGAGAACCCACGCATGCACAGGGAGAACATGCAAACTCCATGCAGAAAGATCCCAGGACGGGAAGCAAACCCAGGACCTTCTTGCTACAAGGCAACAGCTCTAACCGCTGCGCCACTGCGCAGCCAGAGAGCTGATGTCGATTTCCAAAGCCTGTTTTATTTTGATTGACTATATATTTTTTCCAAATTTCATTTTATTTAACATTCCTGATTACCTTAAAATTATTAATTCGTATAAATCATCTTCAGCTAATTTAAATTGCATCTTCACAATGTGCTCCCCCTCCCAATATATATATATATATATATATATATATATATATATATATATATATATATATATATATATATATATATATATATATATATATATATATATATATTTACAACAGGTTCACAAAGTCAGATTTTTGCATTTAAAATATGGTTATTATGCACTGTAAAAAATCCCAAGTTGACTCAACTTAAAATAATTTGTAACCTCAAAGCCTTAAAATTTTGATTAATGCTAGCAAATCATTTTGAGTTACCGTAAATCCTCTAATACAGGCCCGGGCCTGTATTTGACTCAAGCTCATCAAGCTCCAGGCCTTTATTGGAAGGAGGGCCAGTATTAGAGGCAGGCCTCTATTTCTATTTGAGCAAAATGAACTAATGGTTCGCTGGAGTTTTTGACAATTAAAAGTGCGCCCACATTTTCAAAGTTAAACACATTTCTTTTAACAACGGTAGTTTCTGCTTCAGTCCTCTCCCCCCTCCCCCTGCTTCAGCCCTCTCCCCCCTCCCCCTGCTTCAGCCCTCTCCCCCCTCCCCCTGCGCAGCGGCCGCAAACTCACTGATGCACCTGCAGCCTCTCGGAGTTCCTGCTGCTCTAAACATTAAAATAATTATTTCATTTTCTGTTCCTCACTTCTGATGACCTTCAATGGTGTCTGTTTGTTGCAACAGCAGGTACAAAAACTAACTTGTTTTTATTTGACTATTTTTCTGTCCTGTCTGTTTATTATCTTCCTGCATCTCCTCTCAATCCTAAAGAAAAACTGCTACCTGGGTTCATATATATTCACCTTATGAGTTACCTTTGAACTGCAGTTCTAAAAGATCTACCGACCGCAAAAACAGCGGAGCGCTTGCTGTTTGGCGGCCGTATCAGTGATCAGTGCGTCGGAGGACAAGGTGATGCGCGCAGCGCCCCGCTCCACAGCATGCAGCGATACACATCAGGCGCAAATAAAAGACAGAAAACATTAAAGGAAATGAACTGACATGAACGATCGCGTGTTAAATTAGTTTTTGAGGTGGCGACACCTGATTGTTACTGTGGCCGTGCTCAGGAGGCAGATCTACCGACCGCGAAAACAGCTGAGCGCTCCCTGCTGTGATCTGTGCGTCGGAGGACAAGTTGATGCACCCCGCTCCACAGCAGCGATACACATCAGGCGCAAATAAAAGACAGAAAACATTAAAGGAAATGAACCGACATGAACGATCGCGTGTCAGTACCTACGGTCTGGCACTTGAGTTTTACCCCCAAAAAGAGAATCTGATCATACGATAATTCAATAGGGAGCGTGGTTTCACAGACGCGGAAGTGATAGCGTCGGTGCTCTAGGAAACCCCCGAGCGTTCGAGCGTCAACGAAGTGACACGGAAATGCCGGGCTTTCCAGAAGTAAGTAAGATAACTTATTATGAGCTGATAGTTCGTTGGATTGATCGGTAGGTTGGAAACTCTGATCGTGAATCTGAAGAAACGATGACTGAGTGGTGAGCTGGAAAGGCGACTTCCGTTTATAGCCGCGGTTTGTGACGTAGGTGCGACGTGAAGGGAATCCCCGCGAGGGGCATGCTGGGAGTCCCTACTTCGCGGATTTTCACCTATCGCGGCCAGGTCTGGAACGCATCTACCGCGATAAACGAGGGATTACTGTAGTTCATACACCCCCTACTGCTGCTCTCCAGAGTGTTCTGCAGCATAATCAGCCTGTTCTCTTTGAACTTGATAGTGTAATGACCTGGCTGGGGTTGTAAGCCAGGTGCATTCTGGGTATTGTGTTATATGTGTTTCCTATCGTTCTGCTAGTTCCTATGTGCTGATTTGCGTGTTGTGTGAGTGTTATGTAAGCCACAGGGAAGCTGATGTGTGTTCTGTGGAGCGGGTTGAATTAGCATGGTTAACTGACACCTTGACTCTGTGTGGTAGGAGCGTGATAGAGGATCGTGTCTGTAGCGTTACAAAGCCTTGAAGAAAAGGCCTAAGAAAGGTCTGCGTGAACTTCTACTGCCTCCTGCTGGTTGATTTGGGGACTATAACCCTGCCGCTGGGACGCTCATACTTGCTTGTTACCACATTCCACCCGGCCTCAATAAGAGACCGGCCATTATTTACCTCCGCTGACTC